GCCTCAACCCCCCCTTCACCCCCAGTTGCAGCACATGGCAGGTGGAGCTAGTGGAGGTGGGGGCTTAATGAGCTCTCCCCAACATCAGCAGCAGATGCTTTCTCAAATGCAGCAGCAGCAGCAGCATAGTGGCCCAGGGACCAATGCTCAGCAACTTCAGCAGCACCACAACAATGTGTCTCCGTATGCCAACAGACCTCCAGGTTCCTCGCCAATCCATCAGTCCCAGGGAAAACCAGTTCTTGGCCCTGCAACACCGCCACAGCCACAGCCTGGTGATCGTGTAATGCCTGGTAACATTGGGGGACAGCAACCCCCTAATCAACCGCAGGGCCAAGCTCCCATCCCACAACAACAACAACAACAACAGAGTCAGGCTAGACCTCCGCCGGCAGCAGTAGAAATTGCCATGAAAATCCAACAGGTGGCTGATGCTCAGAGAAAGATGGCTCTGCAGAGACAAGCTGCCCACCAGGAATTGCCCCTCCATATCCTCACCATCAACCAGGTCAAGGTCAGCAGATGGGCATGGGACACCCAGGGCCAGTCGGGATGGTCGGACCGCAGGGCATGACACCGCAGGCTGCAGCAGCAGCGGCTGCTGCTCGAGCCCACATGGATCAACAACAGGGTGGCCCTCAAGGAATGATGGTTAATGCTGGGGGTCCCATGCAGCAACCACCTCAGCAGGGGGGGCTGCCCCAAGGCCAGCTTCCCCCTCAGGTCCAGCTTCAACAGCAGAGAATGGGTGCCCCTATTCAAAACCCACAGCAACAACAACAGCCGCAGCAGCAGCAGCAGTGGGCTGGACAGGGGATGCCACCACAGCAGAGACAAGCTATGATGAACCAAATGGGCCATACAGCCATGATGGCAGCGCAGCAGCAACAACAACAGCAAATTCAACAACAACAGCAAATTCAACAACAACACCAAATTCAACAGCAACAGCAAATTCAACAACAACAGCAACAGCAACTTCAACAGCAACAGCAAATTCAACAGCAACAACAAATTCAACAGCAACAGCATCATCCACAAGCTCAAGGCCATGCTGCCTTGTTGAACATGGCACAACAACAACAGCAACAAGGGGCAGGTATGCCAGGGGGCGCTGTCCCTGGACCCACTGGTATCCCAGGGGCCGGTGCTGCTGGAAACATCCCCCAGGCGGCGCTCCAGGATCTGTTACGGACTCTACGGTCACCAAGCTCCCCCCACCAGCAGCAGCAGGTTCTTAACATCCTGCGGTCTAATCCGCAGCTCATGGCTGCCTTCATAAAGCAAAGGGCCTCAAAATACAAGGGCGTGCAAGGAGCCCCTGGTGGTCCCGGTGCTGTACCAGGACCTCCTGGCCCAGGTGGAGGGCCCATTGGTAATGTTATGGCAGGGGGAGGCCCACCAGTCACCATAAATCCTGCAGGGCCTGGTCAGCCAGGTATGCATATGGGTGGTCAGGGAGGGACGAACGTTAACATGTCCACAATGGCCCAATTACAGCAAGTTCAGCAGCAGCAGCTTCAGCAACAGCAGCAACTCCAACAGCAACAGCAGCTACAGCAGCAGCAACAACAGCAGCAGCAGCAGCAGAGACCAATGCTTGGTGGTTTACAGCAGCAACAGCCACAGCAGCAGCAGGGGGCAGGAAGGGGGATGCCAGGTCAGGGGCCACAGATGGCCAATCTTAATCCTAACCAGTTAAGAGAGATATTCATGAGGAGGCATCTGCAGCAGCAGCAACAACAACAACAACAACAACAACAGCAACAACAGCAGCAGCAGCAACAACAGATGGGAGTGAATCATGGTCAGTTCCAGCAACCACAGCCGCCACAAGGGCAGGGCTACATGGGGCAGCCTGGGATGCAGCCCCCTGCAGTGGGGCAGGGCCCACCTGGGGGCCCATCGTTAGGTCCCCAGCAACCTGGTGGTCCACCAGGCCAGCAGGGGCAGGGTTACCCAGGACCTGTGTCCCAACAGCAGGCCACAGCTGCCCTGCAGCATAGGCTCCAACACCAGCACCACCTCCAGATGCAGCAGCAGCAGAACGCCATGGCTGGCCTGCCAGGGGGTGATCCAGGGCCACTGGGTCCTCAACAGCCCCCCCAGGGGCCACAGACCACTCAGGGTGGCCCCCCACCTACGTCCTCTCAGGCCCTGCTTCAACAGGCCATCCAACAGAGGCTGCTTCAGCAGCAGCAGCTCGGTCCTGGTGGGTCACCGGCCCAACACAGCAATCCCATGAGCCCTCAGCCTCCGCAGCAGTTGTCCCAGTCGCCGCACCTGCAGGGCCAGGGGCTGCCCACATCGCTAGCCAACCAGGTGCGATCGCCACAGCCCTCTCCGAGACCCCAGTCGCAGCCGCCAAACTCCAGCCCGTCCCCACGCATGCAGCCTCAGCCCTCTCCGCATCACATTTCTCCTCAGATGCAGACGGGTTCTCCACACCCTGGTCACTTGAACCAGCACCTCCAAGGTGGTCTTGGGGTCCCTCCTCAACAGCCGCCAGGGCCAAACAGCCAACAGCAGCAAAACTCTATGGACCAGTTTGGCTTGGACCAGAGCGGTATGTTATCTCAGCTGAGTGGCATGGCCGGTCTACATGGGCCGGGTGGAAACGGTCAGGACCCACTGGGCCAGAATCTGAATCACAACCCTTTAGACATCATGTAGGATTTCTACTAATGTGTCAGAGCTAAAAGGCTCAGTGGTTCTCCGCACAAACTGCACTCACCCAGGACAGTGTTATTGTTGTTACTTAGCTTTTCATTTTTTTACTGTTATTAAATGTTATTTAAAATGTTTTCAATAAAGATGCATTGAACTGAACTTCCTATGGGAGATGAACAATAAATCAAGCAGTCGTTAAATAAAGTAGAGTAAATGAATTGTAAGTTATTGCTGTTAATATATTTTTTTGCCAACGGTGGACAAAGGGGCGGGGCGGGGTTTTCTCCTGCGGCCTTCTCTCCTCCACACCTAACATAACAGAAGAAAGGTGATATTTTTGGGGGGGTAGGATTGGGGAGGGGCTCATTAGAAGTTCTTGCCTTTTTAAAAAACTGTTTTTAATGTTTTAAATGTGGTTCAGATTTAGGAGGAAGTGAATTCATGCAAAGACCTTTTCTAGGTTTTGTTTTCCAGATCATTCAGCCTGTTGTTTCTGTTATAGCAGAATGATGTGGATGATTATTATTCTTATTTTTTACTGAGAATCCAAACCTGATGCATATCCTTTTTTTAATGTTTGGGTTTGATTTATTTATTGTTTTTCTGTTTGATTTTTTTTTTTTTTGTTTATTTTTTGAGGGGGTTGGGGTGGGACAAGGATGTCATTTTCCCTAAGACTGCTTAAATTCATATAGAAATATATTTTTATTATTGACCTTGGACGGGGAGGTGGGGGTTAGTGTTTATTTCATTTCACTGTAGATGTCTTTAGTTGGGTCTGTCCAGGTGTGGGGGAAAATGAAATGTCAGTGTTTAACTGCGGTGGTTGAAGGTCTGCTGTGACGTTGACATGTACAACAGACATATTGTGACGTCTCGCCGACCAGCGTCTGTGTGGGACACCAGTCGTGCTGGACGACTCGCGAACATGCAATTCCTCTCCCTCGAATGTGTGTGTACTCCTTCCTTTTAAAGACACTTCATTTGGAGCAGAGGAGTCTTGGGGAGGGGGGTGCTAACCTGTGTGCCTGTAACTTTCTGTACCCGAGTTGGGACGTGGATGAGAGTGGGTGGGGCGGGCTCTCCGTTTAGTGTTTTTAGGATTCTGCTGTTTGGAGTAAACAGATGATTTTTGATCCAAATGAACTGTGTTGCACAGAAATGAGGAGTAAGGAGACCCGAGGAGTCCGTCGTCTCCTCCTCCAGCCTCCTCATCCCCTTTGCTGCTTCCTTTGGACTTTAAAATCTCCCCCTCCTCCTTTAGAGAACATTGATCCCCTTTCTTCTCAACTCCGACTTTATGAATTTTGGGATTTTAATTTAATATTTTTTACTGTACAAAGAAACACAAACTGTGGACTCAAATACTGTTTTTATAATAAAATGAAAATTACCAATAGTGACACATTTACATGTGGCCTTTTGTTTGAAATATGATGCTGCTACAAAATTTTAATCTGAAAATATTTAAAATATAAATATTAAACGTTATAATTTTACGTTAAACAAAGAGACCTAACAGTTTGAGAGCATAAAATTAAAAATATATACTGTATTGTGTATTTAAGATCACATGGACGAGTGTGATTCATAGAATATAGTAAAATAAAATAGGTAAAATGTTTAGAAATGCCGAAACTTCTGAAATACTTAAAAGAATTTTTAAAAACTTATTTTAATATAATTGTGATGCTAAGTCTATTAAAACCCGACTAACCCTTTTGTTATTTCAGAAATAATGTTTCAGATACGATATGTATATTTTCATATTTTCCGTTTACTGTACTTTCAGTGAAATCAAAAACGTAATTTAAAGCCAAGTAAAACATTCCAGACCAATCGTTCACTAAAGCCAAGTAAAACATTCCAGACCAACTCGGCGTTAAAATGATCAGAAATTAAGTTTATTAAATTTGTGGAAATGTAAAATGTTTGATGACGAAACACAACCGGAAACAGATCGTTTTCTTTGCAACGACGGCCTCGTTTACTTCGGACCTACCTGAAACGACTACCCCCTCTGGTGGTAACGTACGGCAGTTCCATGTTTCATTTCATGGCAGTCTCCAATGTTAAGTAGAATTTTCTGCTATTGTTTTGTTTAAATGTATGTCCTAAGTCACTGTTTTTGACGTGACTTAGGAACGTATTGAAATATCCTCACGTATCGTTCACTAAAACACAGACGTGATCAAGTGAACTAACGAAAACGTTCCTTTTAGCTTTCAGGGTGAGTACTGGATCATCACGTCACCGGGTCTGTGGTCTTGGTGCATCACGAAGAAGGAGTCTGACCACGGCATCAACAAACTGGTGAGTAAATACGTTAATTATATAAATACAGTGGACAAAATATTGCTAATAGAATGCGAATTTCCAGACGATCAATGCACAAAGAAGGAAAAACGTGACGTTACACAGCGACAAACCAAAACCCCGCTCAAACTTTTTTGGAAACGTTTTAAAGACCTTGTTTGGATAAACGTTAACTAAACGAGTTTTTTATTTTTATTTAAACACATTTAACAAAGGCGATTAAGTTGTTCAAACTACAGACAGGATTTCCGTTTTTTATTTTGCCCGATAAATGTAGCGTTAACAAAATGGTTTATTGTAATTTAATTAGCTAAATTTGCTAAATGTTGCTTACAAATACTTTACCGGTGAAGAAAGCTTGCTATGAGACATGTAAACCACAGGAGGGCGATGTTGGCCATAAAATATTTCAAAAAGAGTTTGACCTACAGTGAAATTCCGAGCATGTTTGTGCTGACTGGTATTTTTTTCTTAGATTTTCTCCTCTTTACTGAGATAATCTGGTATTAACTGAAAAAAATCACGTCATTTCTTTTAGTACACGTTTATTGGAAATACAATTAAAATAAAAAAGTAGTGACGAAAGGTTAGACAGAGAGTCTCTGTTACATATTCACACACTTCAGGTGACGTAGGTCTAGCGTACACGTTACATGCAATAAATAACATCTCACTACAGTCTGACTGTAACATACATTTTTCTTCATTTTCAACATTATTACCTTACACAGCGTTGACAGTGTAAATTGACTTGATTTCATTTCTTACAACTTTTGAAATCCCACAAAGTCTAGTTTGATGAAAGCGAACTAAAGCGGTGATACAAAAATAGACCCAGGAAGCATTTATAAAGTAAAAGCACAGAGTACATTGATCACAGCCCACGACTTCTTGGGTGCCTTCATCCATCTTTTAAAAATGCAGAACTTCACCTAAGCAGGAAGCAACGGTTCTATAACTTTGGGTTTTTGTTTTTCTTCTTTAATGACGGAAATAAACCTCAAAGAGACAACAGGACAGTGCTTTGTGTGTGGGGTACAGACTGACAAGAGCATGCGGCTAACTCGGTGCTAACACTGGAAAAGGAGGAGTAGTGTCTTTTACAAAACCATCATTGGTACGAAAGAGGAGCAACTGAGAACAGGCTCCGGTTACAGATCTGAGCGTGAGACTGGGGTCTGCCTGGAAAGCACTGAGGATAAGTGTTAAGTAAGATACAGTAGCTGTGTGGAAGTGGTTTGAATCGGACATTGGAATTGTACCTCGAACATGTCTCCAAACCCAAGATTGAAACCTGACTGATCATTGTATTGCAACTAATTATTTTAACAAATCCATTTGAAAGTCAGGTGACCTGTCAGTCTTTAAAATGAGCCCCAGAGACAAAATTCCCTCTAATTTTTTTTCTTTGTTTTTCAAAGGCAGTAATGTCTTTATGGAACTCAGTAGGAAATGAACGGAGCTTCATAAAGGTGGAATTATTCACATACAGGTATTTACAGGTAGAAAAGGAGTGGCCAGTGTGTGCTCAGGCGCTCTTTGATTTCTCCTTCCTTCAGTAGCCTTTGAAGAAGCCTTCGGCCACCGTCGCCTCCTTGAATGTAACCGTCAGGGAGTTGATAGTCACGTGCGTCATGATCACCTTCCCAGGACGCTCTGGTGAAGCTGGAGGAGACCCATCACCTGGCAGCATAGTGAGTGCGCTCTGATTGTCGTCTTTCGCCTCCTTCTCCTCCTCCTCCTTCACCTCAGTGGAGGAGCAGACAGCAGTGTTGGAGGGAGTCTCACCTGTGGTCTGACTTCTCTCCTCAACGCCCATTATTACTGTCGTTGTGTCACTTGTGTCTAATCTGAGACCATCAGAGTGGGACTTTATGTCCGCCTCACCTTCGTCCACTTCTGACTCCTCTCTCACCGGATCTGCTGGTATGACCACGGGCGTCACGGAGTCGTCCTTTGATTGGTCGAACACAAATATTTGGTCCCGTCTTGTTTCACACGTTCCTCCGTCTGACCCGTCAGTCCACGTGTCTGAACCCACCAGTGTCAGGCTGGCGTCCACCTTGTCCTCCACCTCCATCTCTGAGTCCTGTCGCTCCAGCTGGGGCGGGGAGCTGCACTCCGATTGGCCTGAAAGAGAGAACAAGAACGGGTTTGATCATTCAATTTAATTCTAAAGCCCATCAAGGATTGAGCTTGTGGTTGGAGAATTGCCCTGGGGCAAATCCTGGAGGATTGGGGTGTGTGGAGCAAGCATCAAATCATGTCCAGCACCTGGGTTATAAATCCACTTCCACATACTCACAGAACATGTGTTTTTTTTTAACTTGTTTTCTGTGTTAAGAAAATAAAATAAAAGGCCCGTTGACATACACCGTAAATAGTCACATGACAACTCTAAGCCAATCACAATAGCAATCTTCTAGAAGCATCTGGACTGAAATTCTGGGATATTATTATCATCAGTACAATCATAACAGTTTCATTGTAACTCGTTCATTTCAATGTAAAGAGTCAGTTTGTTCTTGACCTTTGACCTGTCGACTTTTAAAAGAACAAACAAAACAAATTGATTGAGAATCTCACCGTAAACACTGTCTTCTCGTCTCTCCTCGGTGGCGCTCTCCAACTCCTGCTTCTCCTCCTCACTGTTGCTGCTCCAGTCCTCCTCCGTGGGCTCCTCCTCCACCTTCTTTCTCAGTGCGCCGACCCGTCTGTTGGACTGCCCCTCCAGGACCCTTTTGGGCACCGGCCTCCTCTGCCTGCTCCTGATGGTGCGTCCATCCACGTCCGTGCTCATGGAGCGGGTGAGGGAGAGACGAAGCCGGGGCGGGGGCTTCTCTGGGACCTTGTTGGTGCTGCGCAGGTCCATGGGAAAGATGTTCTGAGGAAGAACAAAAGGTAAGAACACATTCTTTTTTTTAAAATCAGCAACAAATGTTAGTAGTAACACACTTTCATTGACTGTCTGGCATCAAAACGTGGCTGCTCACTTTCAAACATGGGGGTGGAAACAAACCTTGGCTTCCAGAGAAGCCCTGGAGAAGTGTTAATAACTCTAAGGTGCAACAATTTTTGCAGACATTTTTATCAAGTCAGTATGAGAAGTTGGTACTTTTAGCATCTTTGTCTGCAGAGAGTAGAGTCTGTAGAGTCTATACGTGAATATCATCCTCACAACAGCACCACATAGTGGTGATAAAAGGTACTTTTAAGTGGTTGTTTACAAATATATTGAGCTAATCTGTTACTCATTATTAGGTTTTGTAAGATTTGTAAAAAAAAAACAACTAAGTCCATACAACTGAGGTTATAGCACCCCCTGCAGGAGATGGTGGGTACTTATGTTTACAAACAATACTTTTGACAAAGGTTGGATATTTGTCCTCTAAGTGTACAACATCGTGCTTCGTTTAAGTGCAGTTTCTTAGTGTATTTACCCGCAGCACGAGCCTCCTGGGTCTGAGACCTTTCTTGCGATAGGCCAGAGCTCGGATCTTCTCTTGACTAGAGAAGAAGGAAGGAAGTTAAAATAATGAAACAAAGTCGATTATAAAATACGTCAAATAAAAATCTAAATAATGTAAAAGGCTTTTTAAAAATTACTTTTCTTCATATGCTAGCACCAGACGCGGGTCCAAAATATTGTCCTCAGGCTCCCAGGTACTGTACCTGGTGACACAGAAAAAAACCCCCAAAAACTTATTTTGTACTATCTTCAAACTCAACAAAAATATAATCTGAAATTTTGCAATTAACTTTTTGTAATTAAAAAAGTATGTTTTGTTTGTTAAACATCTGCAGGAAACTGATATTAATTGTAATATATCATTGTTTTTTAAATATAAAAAAATAATCTACTATCCATCTGTAGTAATAATGTGGTCGTGAGTGGAACACAACCTTGAACATCAACAAATACTCCACAGTGCTGCTGCTGCTGCTGCTGAGCACACAGGATTTCTTTTTATAAATAAATAGAGGGAATGAGGTCACTCAGTGATGAGCAGCCGTGGCCTACTCACTTTTGGGGCCATCCCTGCCATTTCAGTAGATACTCCACATTACCCTGAGGAGACAGACAGAGGCAGAGGGAGGATCAGAGCACGTTCACACAAAAAGCTGCACATGCATTTGTTCGGAGTGTGATCCCGGAGCAGAAAGAACGCGTTAGTGGACGAGAGAGAAACGGGATGACTGTCACTTTAATGTGTGGATGGGAAGGATGGAGGGGGGAGAGAGAGAGAGAGAGAGAGAGAGGGGGAGTTAGAGAGGGAGGGTCATGGACTTTTTTTCTGCCTTTCAAACCTTGTTTTTCTCCCGCATGACGTCAATGACAGCGGGATTGGGTGGCCTCCGAACAGCAGCTCTGTCTCCGAGCACCGCGCTGACGTGACCGCACATGGCTACACGCGCCGGTCTCCACTACGCGCTGGTTCTTTCTAGAACGCGGCTCCAGTAAAGGTGGGGCCAAATAGGGAACGCGTAAACACACAGTGTTGCGCAACGTCCGAGTCTCCAAACACGCGTCAGGCACAGAGAGAGACAAACAAGTGCGCGTAATCCTGCCGACGTTCGCGTGGCAGAAGAAAAAAAAACTGCTCCGTGTTGCGTGGATTTTTAACATTTATCTCACAGAATTGCAAACTTTTCAAAAGGGCTGTGTATAAAAAAAAAAGGAAAGTGATGTCACACACACACACACACTCAGTTTTATTGTGCAGTACGGGACACGCTGTGCGCACATGCTCCCCGTTTTTGCGGGACATCGTCACGCAGCAATGCGTGACAATATTACGCAGCACTTTTCGTTACAGTCGCCGCTCATCGTACGCACGGCGAGGGGAACAAGCGGAATAGCGAAGTGCGCAGCTCCCATCCAGCGGTACCCACGAACACACACACACACACCCCCTCCTACACTTTACTACAACTGCGTGGGCTCCTCCACACACACACACACACGGCACCAGCAGAAACGCAGGAGAACGCAGGTAAACACGGCGGCCGCACGTGTGACGCAGGCGTTATTTTACGTTAGATTTTGGTAACGTAAAGTAGAGGGGACGATAAACTACGTCACACAGGTTGTGCTGTGAGTGAGTGAGTGAGCGCGCAGTGAAGCTGCTGCTGCTGCTGCTGCTCCGTAGGAAAATAAGTTATGTAAGTTGAGTCAAGTGTCACACACTCTCACCTTCCTCACTCTCTTCTTCGTTATTGACTCCACGGCGAACACTTGGTCTCCTATGGAGGACAGCTCCATGGCTCCAGCGCTGCTCCGCTGTTTGTGTTTGTGTTGGTGCGCTGTTGTCAAGATCGCAAGTGCACAAATTAATTTGAGAGTAAATTTAAATAAAAAAAATTAAAAAAATGAGAAGGGGAAACGGAATCAAAGTGTCAGCTCCTTCCTCCAGAGAGAGGCTGCGCTGCTGAGCCAAACTCCTGGCGCTGCAGCTCCTGCTGCTCCTGCTCCAGCTGCTGCTTC